ATCCCTGGGGTTCGTAGCAGTCCAGGGCGCCAACAAAACCAATTTGTCAGGCTAATGCCTTTATAGTTTAGGATAAATAATTTGTTAATATTTATTTTTTAAAAGTTTGCATGTAAAATTTATTATTTTTTTAATTTAAAAATTCAGATGTTGAAGTTAGGTCTAGGTGGTCCTCATAGTTTAGAAGTAGCATTATTTTTGAACTTGACCGTAAATTTATCTGCAGGCAAGTCATGATCCCATTTCCCAGCAATCACCATTCTGGCAGCCATCTTTCCAATCTCATCAGCAGATTTAGCTGCATGCCCATTTCCACCAACCGCTACTCCCAGCAACGGTGTTACCATGTCACAGTATACAAGATGAGATGGTGTATGCGTTGTAACACAAGCATCACCGAATGTGCGCACAGGTCTCACTCCTACAATATCAAGACATATATGCGATTAATTAATGCAATAGCTGGCTTCTGTACACTTTATGTGGTGCTTTAAATTTCAGTTTGGTTTATTGTCAGAACACATGTGTGTGAGTGTAGAGCATTAAGAACAGCATTCATGATGAATATTACATAAATCTATGTTTTCAGAAGTAAATTGAATTAGGGCAAAAACGAAAATATAATCTGCTCACTATTTGAATGACACAACAAGTGACCTAACAGTTGAAATAGCAGCGCTGTTTCAGTAGAGCAATCTTGCAATAACGAGTGCATGCATACATATAAAGGAACAACAAACAAGTCATTGTCAATGATATAGTCCCTGTCATGTTTTTACTGACTTTGTCAAACAATGAAAAGCATAGTCAGATTATGTTTTATTATATTATAACATTATCAATACTAATGGATTTTATGATGACATTATGATGGCAGATTATTCGTGATAATGTATCCCATTATTGAGCATCAAGGCAACGTACAATGGATATGAATACAATGTTGTTTACGAAAACGAATTAAGGATAAACAATTTAAAAAGAAGATAAATTGTTAGATGACTATTAAATACTAAAATCGACATGAAATAAAATGGTCCATTGCCAATAATAACAGATTCAATATTGAAATCCGTCAATTTTGGGAGGGCATCATAGTCTGCTCTGTGCGCTAAAGCACGTTTGATCACTGCACTTTTAGATTCCGTGACTGATGTGATCTTGGCATCCTGCCTGGGTAGCCCAATCATGTTGATGAACTAAGGTTAGCCCAGTGTAATTTGTCTGATCAAATGCATTAAACTAAGTGGAGTATGTCCACATTATAGCGCGAATACAGAGAGATTAATTTGTTCTGTTTTTGTAGTGAGTTGTACTACACTATTTGCAAAACGAAATCGTTAAATCACAGGCCTCCCAAAGAATTTGAAAATAACTATTACACAGACAGGACAGTTGTCAATAACCTCTATCTTGATGGTTTGAAAACACTTGTGGGATGGGGTAACAAGATGACTACGTACATGTAAGCCATCGAATAATTGCATCTCGCACATATATGTCACACGTTATGGGTTGGCAAGTTTTTCATTATTATTTAAATAGTATTTGGCTTTTAAACACAATGATTGATCAATAATAAACATGCACACTGGTGCCATCAAGTTCACATTACTTTCACTGATTAGTTAATTAAGACTCATAAAACACAATGCTTGACGCTGACGAGCAATCACTCATTTTGAATATTTTTTTCAATATCAGTACTATAATAAACTTTATGCACTCTGGGAACTCATTTACTACTGACTCAAAATACCCACCTTTGACGATATCAAACATCATGTCTAAGAGAGGTTTATGTGCTGACTTGAGTCCCTCAGTGCGGAACCAGTCTGCTACTTCTTTCTCTGTGGTGAATTCTGTCTCAAATTGTTCTCCATGTCCAATCTTCAGATAATATTTACCTGGATAAATATAATATATATTGCAATGAGCAATTAAACAATCCATGACATTACAAAGAAAAGATTATTGATAAATAGAAGGTTATATTATATTTGTTGCATTCACAGCTTCTCACATCTTGATGACGAAAAAGAATAACTTACAAAACACACTTAATATTAAGTGGTTGAGTCTTGTGGTTGTGAAAATTTGGCAAGATTATTTTTCCACCAATGAGTTTTTTGCCTATCAAATCAGTGCAATTTCATAGATTTTCAGAAATAAGTTTATGATGTCACAAGAGACAGATTTTCAATAGTATTGGGCAAAAAACTGTCAAAGCTTTATAGCCATTCACTCCGGTCATAAAACCTGAAATCTGACTAAACTGAATCTAAACAAATAATGAAACAAAGAGAATGAACACAAGCTTTATTCCATCGAAGACCGGTTTACAAAGTTCAAACCGTCATGCGTAACACTTGAAACAACCGCCATTCTGATTTTTACGTGTAATTTCCCCTTTCACAGTCTATCATGCAGAAAGTAAGTATTACATCTGCCACACAATGTAACGTTGCTATTAAAGAACACTGTAAAAGTAATCATTGTTATTGTCTATGGTAGCAAGACTATGAATAGTGAATTTACCCATGTGAATCGTTTCGAAATGTTGTGGCTATGAGCCAGTCTACGCACTAATGTTTCCATAGTAATGTATTGATCAGAAGTCAATGAGACACAGAATTCTGTGACAAATATGTGATTACATAGCATTTCACTAGGCCATTATATATATACGTTCTTGGGAGCACTCAGAACGACTAGACTTCTGTGGTATAACCGAGGTGGGATATTTTGAATGCGGGGATTGGGCAAAACACAAAAGGTGCACACACAAAATTGTGAAATTAATAAAATATGACAGTATTGGATTTCTATTCGATACAAAAAACAATAATATAAACATGGTTAATCAGTAGATATAATAATCACTGTCAATATTATGAAACTTACCATCTGGATACTTGATAGGAGGTAACATATAAAGATTGTATTTTCCACCTTGTGTCATCTTACGTATGACGCAAGGCATGTCTTTGAGACGAGCAGCATCTTTTGGGGTAACCTCTGCAAAGGCAACCGTCTGAGATTTGAGCTGTACGTCTAACTCCTTGCCAGGTGGTAAGAGTCGTCTGAATGATGTGAAGCCACCAGTAGCTAACAACACTTTCCTAGCATACAGAATGTCCCCTTTCTCTGTAGTCAACTTCATCACAGACCCATTTAATTGGTTAGTTTCAGTCACATGTACGATGACATCATCAATGATGTTACATCCTTGGAGATGAGCAGCTGTTTGTTGTGCTAGTAGCTGTGATCGAGGACTAACATGACCAGCACCTTTTGACTGCAGAAGTGCAACATCATACGTATCAATGTTCAGATAAGTGAATTGTTTGTTGACATCTTTATGATCCATAATATCAAAATTTACATGAAGATCAGTTGCAATTTCCTTCATCCTTATTACATCCTCATTTTCTTTATTACAAATTGTCATGTGACCAACCTCAGAGAAGAACTTGACACCTGAATAAAGCAATGTGCAATTTATAATAATCACCTTTTATACAA